ATACGGTCGAATTATTGCTACTGCATCGGAGTGTTGTTATGCGTTGCCTGGATACTGATTGGAGGAGCACTTCTTAATGAAAATAATCTTAAGAAAATTGAGGGGTTTGGAGGACAGACGCACAGACGCATAAATGCAATTTTTGCGACTAAAATTTTGATTTTTCTATAATAATCTACATAGTGGTTATCAGTTGGACTGTATCGATCGTACCCAGAATGGATTGACCGATTGAGCCAAAACTGTGAATCCACCTTCGCGGAATAGAAGCGTCGTTTTTTTCATAATGAAAAAGAAACCAAGGTATTTAGGGATTTGCTCTCTAGGTACCTTAGCAGCAAAGATTGAAAAAATTTTACAAAATCTAAAAAAAAATTGTAAATTATGATAAGACAACTCCTTGAAAAAATGTATTAAAATCTTTTTTAGGAAATTCTTTTTGGGTATTTTTTCAAGTGAAATTCTACAAAAAGGCGGACAAATTGATCAAAAAGTCTCGAAAAATTTGCTGTCTTTTATGACACTGGAAATTTTCGCAAAAAGTGTTAAGCAATGCTTTAAAATTTTTTTTTTTTTAATTTCCTCCAGGAACCTGTTACATGCTGTTTACCAAACGTAAATATTTCACTCAAAATTATCCTTGAAGGATTTCCTAAAACCTAAAATAGTTGTTCATAATTTTTTGATAGGTACAGCAGGCGATAACCGTTGAGAGTTGGCAATGACCCTCGTAACCGCAATGTATTATTATCCTAAGGATCTTCATGGGACTCAATGTCCATACTCACCATAAATGTAACACTTGAAGCCAGTTTTGCACTAAAGAACTAATCAAAATATGTCTTTGGACACTAGTTTGATATCACACTTCATCGTTTCCCGAACGAAAGAACCTAACTCCATTGTAAGGTTGCAAAATCGACTTAAGAAATGCACTATCTTAAGAATATACCTGCGCAAGTTTTGCCCAAAATTTGCCTAATTTTTGCATGAAATCAGAGGAAAAATAGTCAACTTTTCAGTTAGAAATGCCCGAGATTCTCTAGGTACAAATGCAATGCGAAGGAAAATTCGACAACATTGAAATATAGTTACGTTCTTTCGTGCGGAAAACGATGTTGTGATCAGTGAAGTTAGAGACAGGAACCACTGTGCGACTGGGCGGCCGTGTGTCGGCTGTTGGCTGATCCGGATCTGGAGTCGATGTAATTAGCTAAATAACAGACTGGCTTCGAATTTAGAGCTGTCCCGCGTTAACCACGCCATACACCCAACACCCAATCCGTCCCACGTTCCTTCAGATTCCATCCTCAGCTTTTTCCTTTTTCCAAAGTTTTCAACATTTCCCCATCTGGGAGACCCGCGTGACCTAACATGCACTCTAAAATGTCGCAGCCATAGTCAAATCTGGCATCTCGTTAAATACTTAAGTAGATGGGCAATAATGGAGATGTTGCATGTGTGAGGAATTTGCGATTTGACCATTGATTCTTATGTAAAAGTTCGCGAGAAACACGATGGTGCCACTGGTTTTCTCTGAAATCAACTCCCAAGCTCAAAAAAAGCTCTCAAGTTGAGGCTAAAATGGAGGGGATATCCCACGCTATCCTGAGAGTCCACCTCTACATCAAGACAAACTCTCCATGCGAGGATAGAGAGCAAATACATTAGGAGGGTTGCCATGTTTTCAGTTTTAGAGTCCCCAAATAAAGTGACAGCCCTGTCAATGTATTTGCTCCCTATCTTTGCATGGAAAGTTTGTCTTGATGTAGAGGTGGACTCTCAGGATAGCGTGGGATATCCCCTCCATTTTGACTTCAACTTGAGAGCTTTTTTTGAGCTTGGGAGTTGATTTCAGGGAAAACCAGTGGCACCATCGTGTTTCTCGCGAACTTTTACATACGATTCAAAAGCCAAATCGCAAATTCCTCACACATGCAACATCTCCATTCTACCTCAGGTTGAAATTCTTATATATAAAAGTTGCTTTACAACGCACTCCGGCGTTCTACGACACCCAAACGCCACATATGCCTGTCTTCCCAGAGGTTATCGGGCAACTGACACCGCAACATCTCTTCGTCAATGAAATTGAAATTCTTAGATTTACTTAAATTTTTAACGATAATGAGCCCTTAATTTGAGAAACTTGGAGGACAAGAAACATGGGTGTAGTTTTTGCTATTTCGAATTTTGACCATTGTCCAGAGGAGCACAGGTGACAATAAATTACGATTACATGGTAAAATTATTGGTATTGCATCGGAGAGTTGTTATGTTGCCTGGGCACTGATTGAAAGAGCACTCTTATTGAAAAAATCGTAACAAAATTGAGGGGCTTGGAGGACAAGACGCATAAGTGCAATTTTTGCCATTTCGAGAAATACGTGTATTATAACTTTCGAAATTTCTTGGATTTTTATGGCGGAAAGAAAGTTCAAACTGATTTTTTGATTATTAAAAATTGGAATTTGAGAGCGAATTTTTCATAGAATATGCATTTAGAGTAGTCTAACTTGAAATCATCACCATCTCAATTTTCTCAAAAACTGCACTCATGCGCCTTGTCCTCCAAGCCCCTCATTTGTAAATACAAACTCTTTGTTAGATGTTTGATCTTTCCGTTGTAGTTTTTAAAGTTTTTAGCATTGAGTAAACTTTCATCTCAAAGTTTCTCGATGCCTCGTAAAATACAGACTATTTAAACATTTGACTGTAAAAAATTATGTGTATAATTTTGCATCTTCATATATATTTTAAAGAAAGTTGTTATTTTTCTTCCAAAATTCTGATACACTCAGAAGTCTTCATCAAGAACATTTGAAACTCGGAAGGTCCTTATAACTGGACTATCAGTCTGGGCATCCGAACAAATGCCTGAATCGACCGTTAGCCTGAGACATCAATAAAGTTTTGAAGAAAGTCCTTAAATACTGCATTCATGAAAATACATAATGGGCCAAGAGCCATTTAGCAGCCGCTAAGTTTTTCCAGCGTGTTTTCACCTTAGACTTTGGTTACTTGAACCGTGGTTCATACCCCACGACCGAAATTTTCTTTTATCAACATTAAAAACTTTGGCGTTCCGTATGAGCCGCTTGAACTTTTCGTGCAGGCGTGGCAAAGGAGATTGATCTGATTCGACTTTGTTTTTATACAATTCCTCTGAGTAATGGTGACTCATTTTTAGGTGTCTGCGTTGGCCGGATATCTTTTTGATTCATTAATAGCTGAGAGATTTCCATGTAAACTTATGACACAAATTTCTCTCGAGTAAAACAAGCATTAGCGAATTTCTAATCGTAGGCCGTGCTCCCCTCGTGCCGCCAAGTCCAACCCACGCAGTATTGCGATCTGCACCACCGTGCTGAGGAAAAACGCCGTAAAAACCTTCAGACATTGCCAAATTTTCTTTGATAAAAGACAAATTTTCTGGTAAACTTATGCATATTTTCCCTCTAATTTTTCAGATAATTTTGATTGCAATTTCATCTAAAGCTCCTGAAAATTTCGAGGAAAAATTTTCAAAACTTTGATACTTCCGTTATCTTATAAGTAAAGAATAGCTCGCTGCGGCATTTTAGATGGCAGTGGCGTGCGATGTAGATCACTTTAAATGAATAAACTTAGCGCTATAAAGCACGAAAATTAGCCACTTTCCATGAATATTTATCCATAATAATTATAGTCAAAATTCAGAAACACCGATAGCTTCCGCAAAAATTTGTAAGGGAGGGCGGAGAGGGGGTTCAGTCTTATTTTGACCCATAGAACACACTCCTACAGTAACCTTGGAACACATGTTTATAAGTAACCGCTGAGTAATCTCACGCATGCGCGGCGCGTGCACTAGAAAGTGTATCATTGGAGACTTTAACGCATGGTCAGAAAAGTAAGCAGTAAAGAACTTAAGCCTGGGACAATCTGCAAGCAAGTATAAAAAAGCGCGTTCGGTATTGAACAAGGTGAAGTGGTGAGTTCCTGGACAGTCAGAACGCCTTCACTACCGTGCGTAGGCAACATGGTTATCCGGAGCCCCGTGGACTCCGAACAGTTTCATCCAGGCGTTATAATGAAATTTATTTTAGAATTCGTCGCGCAAGACACTAACAGAAGCTTTGATTATTTCTCTTCGACCTAATTATAATTCCAGCGTTGTCATTTGTACCGATGAAGTAAATTATTACTGAATTTTATTAAATTTCCAAGAGGTGTATTATTTAAATGTGTTACAAAGTTGCCCTCCTAGTATGGGTTGCGGCCCTTGTACCTTCTCTTATCTAAGAACTTTAAGGATGCGTCAAAATCGTTTCATGGTCATATCAGGAATTTTCGAGCGCCCATCTCAACATGTTTATACTTTTTTCGTTGAAGCATTAGAAAAAAGCCCAGTCAGAAATTTGAATCAACCTGCGGATAATCCAGAGCCTGTTTTTGAAGTGAAAACTACACAACGTCAATTCTTTAAAACTTCCTTGTGGTTTCTTCTCTGGGCAAAGAAAATTCTGTGAAAACTTCGAAGAATGATGTTGGTTTACTTTGTTTTCTTTCAAAGAGGTTGAATGGGAGCGGAGATTTTAAAACACCGCAAACGGGATACGTGGTTTGGATGTTTAACCGTCTATAAAATTTTTATTGAGATTCCTTAACGCTGTCTCTTGCATTGAACATTTGTCGGCAACAGTAGCAGTCTGAAAATATTTGAATAATGGAATGAAAATTTAGTAACGCTGAGATGACTTGCCTTACTAAAGAGATATTTCAAGTTTCCTTCAAATCTGTGATTGGCAAAAACAGATACACTATTGTCATGCGCTTCTACGGCGCTACACTTCCCTACTTTGCATTGACTGTTGGCGCTCTCTGACGGATGACTTGGTGCAGCTATAATTCGTGCTCCTTTCATAGAGCTCGCTAGTGCTTCACCTGCACAGTGCAGCCCTCTAGCGAAGTCTGGATAAACTTTAAATTTGTATTGTTATCAGTCGTTTTGTTTTCATTTGTCAGTTAGCGCGGGAATATCGGTTGATCACGACCTAACCTCAGTCGCGCCGTGTGTGTTTCGTGAATTTGAATTCGACTCAATCATTTTTACCTTTTTACCTTTGCGTGCTTATTCTTGTGTTACTTTTAATTTTCCCTGTGGTTTTTGTGCTCCATCTGAGATTAGTCCCAACCATGCCTGCAGATGAAGAATTAAGTTCCATCCTTAACAGAAGGCAGCAAATTAACGATGCTCTCGATGAGGGAAAATCTGTCGCCCCTCAGTTCAAAAAAGTTAATTGCAACGTGTACACAGAGTTCCAAGAATTCTCCAGGAAACAAATCAAAGAATACGAGAAATCATTCAACAGGTTAGCACTATAATAGAATTTACCTAGTCATTATGTATCCTTGTTCACCCTGTGCGCTGTAGTCATAATCATCAGGGTTCTCTCTGTCCTTCCGGAATCCTATGACTTAGCGCTTGTCCAACTTACAAGGTCCTAACATTCTGCTTTATTGGTTGTAAATTTTGAAAGCTCAAATAAACTGATGTTGGAAGGGAAGTTGGATGTCTGAACTTGAGGTCCTGAAGAGCCTGCATCAGATAAGTCGCAATATTTGTTTACTCTCCGTTTGCAACAAAATGCACCACTATCTTTCTATAGTGTTCGAGAATTAAACAAAAGCCTGCCATCTGTATGTATAAAAAATAGTTTGCTACGCTTAGTAGCCGAAAGTAAACAAGTGTCAATTTATCTTTCTTCAAGGTTTGTGAAAGCATTTCAATACAAGTTGATTTTGTACTTTGCCACCCGAACAGATAAAGGCTTTTCATAAACTTGCATGTAAACACAGTTGCAACTTGCATTTTGAACTCAAAACCGATTATTTACAATCCTCTTAAGTAGTATATCAATAGCTAAAGTGCGACACCACTTATCTCCGTTACGGTGTTCCAAAATCTCCGTTTTTAGTCAATTTTTTTTAAGAGGAACAAGTCGACTTCATGGCTTGAAATGTATTAAGAATATTTTATTGACAGAGTGAAGAAATTAAGTAAGTTTTCAATAAATTATGTTGACTCGTTTTCCAAGGAAAAAATAACCTTTGCCAGGAAGTCTACAATGTCGCAAACGGAGATACGTTGTCTTGCACTTATGCTGAAGATCAAAAACTATTTGTAAACAATGAAACCCAATTAGAATGCAAATTGTAGTGGATTTGCCTTTTTCAATTAGAGATTTTCCATATTCAAAGACAGTTAATTCAATTTCTAATGGTGGTTGTAGGTATCAATGTGCATTTTTCGGAAATCAGTATAAAATGTTTATTTCCAATACGTATTGAATCTGTGTTGGGTGATTGCATGATAAAAGTGCTCACGTACACAACGTAGCTACTGTGTCGGTAATTGTGATTGATGAAGATCGCTCATTACCTTACTTCTATTTTCGCATACGGCATTACGCATCATCCTTCCCGGATTAAACAGTCTCATATCATTACCTAATTGTGAAATTTTATCTCACATCTTAAAAATAAGAGACCTTGCTACCAGAGAATTACAGAGAGCAAGTAACATTATGATATTCTGGCAACCTTGCAAAGTACTTATTAATTGGACTGAGTTAAGCAGAAAGGAACCAACCCACATTTTGGAAAAAATTGAGTTATGAGTGGTTTTGAACTCAACCACTGCTCTACTATCTATCGCCAAAAATTCAAAGTTTTTGTTGGAGCAAATTTTGCAGAAATTGAACTCGAAGTTTATCTTTTACATTGAGTCTTATGCAGGAGCCAAACTTTAAACCTCTTTTTCTCGGTTCGATCCCGATGTGACTTGGTTCCTTTCTGTTTAACTCCGTCCAATTGCCTCTCTGCTGATAGCTGACCGTCACAAATCAGGATGTCGACGAGGTGATCAAAAGAAAATAGTGCGAAGTGTTAAATCCGCTGATTGTGTCCTGTGCGGGGGGTCATGGTTCTCGATGCTCTGCGCCATGACCCGGAGTAAAGGGCGATTGGGACAACGCGACGCAGTGACGTATGGCATCGGCGATTTATTGGAAAATAATCAGCCAAGGACGAATATGCGATCCTGGACGGATCTGCGATCGGTCGGATGTTCGGTGAACAATGATCCGTAAATAACTTGGGTGACTGCATCCACAGTTACTTAATGCTGTGTCTCCGGGTACTCGATCGGTGAATAGTCGCAAACTAGGCGGTTCGTTAATCCACATCGCTCCCAAGGTAAAAGCGATGTCCCTCGATATTTTTACGCTAAATTGGCGAGACACGCGAGTCTCGACAATTTGTCAATGATTCTTTTCAAATTTTCCAAAAATTTTCACCCTAAACATGATTTCAGTAGTTTATCAAATTTTAAATGATACCTGATGTTTCGTCGAAAAGAGATTTTTCCAGGGATCAGAGTTGCTAAAAGAAATTTCATCGAATGAAATTTCTTTCCTTCCCATGAAATTTCTTAAATTTCATGAAATTTCTGTTTTCCCCATGAAATTTCATGAAATTGCCCCATGAAATTTCCTAATGAAATTTCTTTTTATAATCTTTCATGAAATTTCTTAACTCTGCCAAGGATGCAAAAAATTATTTGCAGAAGCAGTCGCAATTGCAGCCTGATAAGTGAAAATTCACTTACCTACCTAAGTATGTTTAGATAAGTCTTTCAGTCTGCGGAAACGTCAAATTAAAGTACTCACTTATTGAGAGAAATACTCTAACAAATGGACCGCGTTAAGAAGAAAAGAACTAAGCCACATCAACACTGTCAAATTTAATTGGGCAGTTAAATTTTTTACATGAAAACGGTCGTGCGGAATTTTTTGCTAAATTGAATTTTCCGCATAGTAGGCACGAAGCTAGTTCCTCAAAAATTTCAACAGAAAAAAAAATCCGCACAAACGTTCTTTTGCATAGAATTAAATGACTCCGTTAAGGCAGTATCTGATGTGGCCTGGTTCCTTTCTGCTAAACGCGATCCAAATCATCGCGCTTTTCTGTTTTGTCGGGTAGTCTCATGTTTTACACGAAAACGGTTGCGCGGATATTTTTATAAATTTAAATGAAATTTCTGCATAGCACCAAGCAAATTCTTTAAACAAATTTAAAAAATCCTCACAAACGTTCTCTTGTAAAAAAGCAAACGACTCAGCTAAATTTGGCAATGTCTAATGTGGCTTATTTCCCTCTACTGAACGCGATCCGAATCATCGCGCTTTTCTATGTTTCGCGCAATTTTTGGGGAGAACAAGAAAATTCCTCCGGATTTCCTAGTTAAATTTGGCAATGTCTAATGTGGCTTATTTCCTTCTACTGAACGCGATCCGAATTATCGCGCTTTTCCATGTTTCGCGCAATTTTTGGGGAGAACAAGAAAATTCCTCCGGATTTCCTAGTTAAATTTGGCAATGTCTAATGTGGCTTTTTTCCTTCTACTGAACGCGATCCGGATTATCGCGCTTTTCTATGTTTCGCGCAATTTTCGGGGAGAACAAGAAAATTCCTCCCGGATTTCCTTCGCGCGCATCTCTGCATCTCCGAATCTGTTTCTCCCGTGCATTATCCGAACCCTCCAGTTCATCCATCCCGAGACTTAAAAGAGTCTGGAACCAGTTTGCATTTCATCCAGACGTTCCCGCATCTATTGGTCGACCGGGTTCGACAACAATGGAAGCTTAAAGGCCTTGCCCATTCCGGGATATCCATGTGCAGGTCCACCGCGGGATGCCCGCCGCCAACAACCATTGAAAATGGTCATGTTTTGCGGCCTTCCTCCCCCTCCCCCCACCCCCCTTGCTGCCGACCGATCGACTCCGCGTCATAAACGAATGATGGTCGTTCTTTCTCATCCGCGGCGACAGTTATCGTTAACCGCCCGATGATGCTGTGCAACGGCGATTGGAGTAATGTATCTCTTCGCTGTGAGGAAAAACGCCGTATGAACATTCTAGAGTTGCCAAATTTCCCCCGATAATATGCTAATTTTCTTAGGAAAATTACGCATGTTCTTCCTTGGACTTTTCAGATATTATGGTCCGGATTGCAAAGAAAATTGAAGGACAAATTTTCCAAGTAAATTAATTTGCTATCGGAGGACGTATAGTAACCTCTGGAAGCTCATATGACGTTTTTCCTTATCATGGCAGCTCTGCTAGGGAAAACGCCGTAAGAGCATTTGGACGCTGTCGAATTTCTACCGATCGAATGTGAAACTCCTAGAAAATGTATGAATTTTTTTGCCGGCGTTTTCGCTGAAGACGTAGAAGAAGAAGAGGAAGAAGGTGGTGATGATAAAAAGAAGAAGAGAGAAAGTCGAAGAGATGAATTTCTCTGAAATTTTCGGATTTCTTAGATCAAATTACGAACGAAATCGGCTGACAAATTGGAAGTGAGATATTCGAAAATTTTCCTGAAAATTCGTGATTTGGCGAAAGAAATTTGGCAACGCCTGATGGCTTATACGGTGTTCTTCCACAGCAGGCAGTATTGTAGATTCCCGACCCCCGACGGGTGAGAGATCATGGCCTAGGTTTTCGATTTTGTGTGAGTCGACGAAAGCGATCCGATAATCTTGGATGCTCATCATATTCATAATTCCTTATGGCTAATTTATTCCCGATGGGGCGCCTCGGGGCGCAGCCAAACCTTTGCTTTGCGATAAATCGATTGACCTTCCATTTAGACGAATGGAAAACGGATCAATAAACAGGGTGCTCGCAAGGAACACCTTAATAATCTATTCTTTACCATAGCTTCAAATGGGAACGTATCGATACTCGATCATTCACGCCTCGCAACTGCAAACCACGTTACTAGTCTCTTTTTGGGTTGAGTTTTCCTGAGGTACTCGCTGTGCTGGAAAAGAGCTAGTATGGTCATTTGCAAAGATAAAAAAAAACTCGAAATTCATTTGATCTGATTTCCCTCTGAGAAGAGTAGAGCGGCGACAAGATTCGATAGTTTTGCCAGGGTCTCTGGCGATCTGGAAAATCGGAAAATTCTTGAATTCGTGCCGAGTTATCCTTTACTGCAGCAGCAGAATTCAAGGCCGGATTTAGGGGATGGCCAAATGGGCCGCGACCCATGGCGACAAATTTAGGGGGCGGCAAATTTTGCATTTTTTTTAAATATAGCTATAAAGAAAAATTGGATTCGGAGAAAAAATTACGAACGAAAAAAGGTGACAAAATCTCTCATTTCCCGACAGTACATCTCTAATTTTGTCGTCTTCCTGTGATACAATAGACAGCGCCTTTAATTAGTCGAGTTAAGACTAAGAGAAAAACCAAACACGGAATTTGGCCTGGAACGGCGCGGCGCAGAGAGCAATGATGTCGAGAAC